TTATGCAGAAAAATAAATGAAACAACTTTTGCCTTGGGGTTACATCGAAATTCTTTTTAAATTTAAATAAACGAAATTCTTTATGAAATTTAAATTTTAAAATAAAAAATAAAACTATGTTATATGAAAAAATAAAATAAATAATTTTTTGCCTTGGCCTTGCTACTGTTTCCTTCCCAGTGTGAGTGTGTGTGTTTGTGTGTGTAGAGAGTGCATCTATGTGTGTTTCCCCAGTGGGAAGGAAACCGTATCGGAATTTTCCCTGGGGAAACACACACAGATGTCTGTGTGTGTAGAGAGTGCATCTGTGTGTGTTTCAAGTTGTTCTGAGCAAAAACACAAACAGGGAGATGTCTGTTTGCGTAGAGAGTGCATCTATGTGTGTTTCCCCAGGGAAAATTTTTTAGGCTGATACACACACAGATGCATTTTCTACACACACAGACATCTCCCAGGAAAAAAGTAGAGATGCACTCTCTACACACACAAACATCTCCCAGGGAAAAAGTAGAGATGCACTCTCTACACACACAGACACTCTCATCACACACAGAGAGGGAGATGTCTGTGTGTGTAGAGAGTGCATCTGTGTGAATGTTTTTACTCATAAAAGTTTGTGTTTGTGTGTGTAGAGAGTGCATCTGTGTGTGTTTTTCCCTGGGGAAACACACACAGATGTCAGGAAGGATCACCATCACACCTCCCCCACTTTCTCTTTTTTTTTTTTTTTTTTTTTTGCTCAGAACAACCTGAAATTTTTTGGGGGGGGGTCCCTAGTGGTACTCGGACCCCCCCCGTTTTTTTTTTTTTTTTTTTTTTTTTGGCAAAAACACAGTTGTCCGACTTTCCGGACAACTCCCCCCTGACCGTCTCCCTGAGACGTCTTCCCTTCGGACAACTGGTAACACAGGAAAAAACAAAAAATGAAAATAGAAAAAAAATAAATCATTGTGTGGGCCAGCAAGTTTTGACATCACCATCTTTGCCAATTTTTCTTTTTTTTTTGGCTAAACAGAATGACTTCAAAATTTAAAGGAAGATTCCTTACATCACAGACAACTAAAAAAAAAACAATTTAGAAAAAAATAATAATATTTAGGTGCCAAAATATTTGTTTGCGGGGGTCCGAACCCCTTCAGGTTCGGGTCCCCGTACGCCCCAAAGTTCGGGCGTCAGCTTAGAAGTCTCCGTACGTTCGGTCTGGCAACCCTGCCTTAAACATTAACCTCCACATAATAAATTTTTTATATTTTATGAAAGTATTTCAGTTTTATAAAACATCAAGCAGTGGGAATTAACGATAAAGCTGGCAGTAACATTTAACTGTCAATTAATCAAATTGATTGATTGGCTTAAAAATAACCACCACTATGAAGCATATGCAATCGAAGGGTTGTTTTGTTGAAAATTGAGAAATGAAAGGATGTGTTCATTGCACAATTTTAACGCTGCTTCCTTAACAGTGTTATTTTCTTAAATTCTTGATTATGTATATATTGACTGATATTACGACCTCATCGTTATCCATTGATTGCAATTATTTCATTGAGTCATTAAAATTCGCGCTGAAAAGTATAAACATTGGTCTTCATTTCGATGCAAGTATGAAATTTGGTCCTTATTCGGATATAAATATTACTTTATTGCTTTACATAGTCTTTACAGTTGATTTGTTTACATAACTCTCTGTAGCATTTGACCCTCAATGTTAATCACTCTCAAACTATAAGTATGGCAACCACGTTATTGTTAAGTTATTATTAATCTTAAAATTATTTTTAAAACCAAATTAAAGTATTAAAAAGCTAAGCTACTGGACTGACACGGGAAAAGTTGTCCGGTCGGGCAAAAAAAAAAAAGAACTCCATTTCAAATTCATTAAATAATTTCAATATAGCTTTTAGCCGAAAGTTTTTTAGCTTATTTTTGCATCACATGTTTTTTTTTTTTTTATAGGCTACCAAAGTGGCGCGGTACCACTTACCCCGTCGAAGCCGAATATATATATATATATATATATAAGTCGGTGAAACTCCGACGAAACAGTTTGTCACAGCCCCCCCTTTGTTGTCCTCTTCTCTCTCTCTGCCTACGGTTTACCGGGCAGTTCTGTTTGTGACGATATATATATATATACATATATATATATAGGATCAACAGCCCGTACGTACTGAGGTCCCCGGGCCGACCTCCGTACGTACGGGTGCTCGAGGTCCCGTTCGGGGTCCGAACCCGACGGTATTCGACCCCGCCAAAAATTATTTCGTGACGAGAAATACATTTTTTTTTTTTTTTTTTTCGAATTCTCTAAGATGTGAGGTACACATGCCTTTAAATTTTGAAGTCGTTATGCCGAGCCACACAAAGATGGCGATATTAATATATATATATAGAGAGAGAGAGATATAGATATAGATATAGATATAGATATAGATATAGATATAGATATATATTTTGTTGTTTTCACTTTTTACTTTTTATTTTCTTCAGGGCCTAGACACTTTTTACTTTTTTTTTCACTTTATTGCAGGGCCTAAACAATTTTATTATTTTTTGAAATGTTTTTAGTGAGTTTTGTATTATGTGAAGTACACATTTTTAAATTTTCAGGGCATTTGGTTGTGCCCAAAAAAAAGGAAAATCGCCAATGGGGTGTGAACCGACAGTCTGTAGAGTTTTCCATCTGGTGTGGGTGAGTGATAGTCTACTTTGATTTTGGTTAAGGTAGCTTATCATTTACAGTGTAATCAGTGAGGGGATTCTGCAGACTGTTGAGGGTTCAGCCTCCTGATGAGTCGGTGAAACTCCGACGAAACAGTTTGTCACAGCCCCTCGTTTATTGTCCTTTTCTCTCTCTCTGCCTACGGTTTACCGGGCAGTTCTATTTGTGACGATATATATATATATATATATATATATATATATATATAAATACCAGCCGGGAAGAAACGACCAACTTCCAAGTGCATCCGGACTCAATTTTGGCTTCGGATGCACCTAAAATATGTGTTTCTCCTCCCCCATGTAATCCGTTATATTTCGGTTGCATGGGGGTTTGATTTTCTTTGATTTTCTCTGCAAAAAAAAAAAAAAAATCAATTTTTTTTGCAACCGTCATATTCCATAATGAATCTGGTCACGGATGTATTTTCCCAAGTGACTATTTTTTACTGTTAAGGCCTTTTTTTTTTTTTTTTTTTTTTTTTTTCTCTTCTTTTCTTTTCTTTTCTCTTTCTCCTCCTTTCTTGGACAGTAGGGACCTGCCAATCCCTACCTATCGCAGTCCCTACTGCTGTCTCTTATACACATCTAGATGTGTATAAGAGACAACTTACAGTACATGCCAGTTATCGGACGCAGGCCCCTTTCGGCGGCCGCCTACTGCCGATTCATTTTATCTACGGCGCTCGGTCTCCTCAATTTTCGGAGAGGCTAAAAATAGGTTCTCCAGTTGCCTGGGGCCATGTACTGGCGGTTTAAGACTGCACGTTGCCACAAATGCAGCCATAATGCAGGTACATTCTATTAAGGCGAAGATGGTAGCCTACAGTTTCTCAAAATCGAACAAACAAAACGGTAGCTACCAGTATCTCAAAATTGAGCCAACAAGTCGTAGATGAATCGACGTGTGGCGGATCAACTGACAGAGTTCCAACACAATAGGGCATGGTGACTGAAAAGCCTTTTTACCAGCAGCAGGATCGCAATAACCACTGCCACTTCGGCTCATACTACATAAATCTAGGTGCCCAGGCAAAGCAGAAACAGGACGGCATCCGACACCTGTCAAGCAACACACAAATCGGAGACATCCGCTGAAACTCGTCTTCGTCTGACCAGTCTCCCGTCATTGCCATTTTGGTCAACCAACCAATACCCTTCCCTCCATTCAGCAACGACGATTGCTTGCACATTTTGCCGGACGTTCATTCGAAACTCAGCAGCGTACTTTTCATAGCTTTTCGTGCTCTTGCACGCAGCACACAAACGAGCAACAGAACGTGATTATTTGAACGAGCAACCAAAGAAAATCCAATTAAAACGAGAGCAACAAAACAAGATAATTTTAAGCGCAACTCTTGGAGCGGGAACTTACCCGCAGTCGGTTGCCATCGAAGTTATATCCATCACGTCCCCTGATGGCATCTTCGGCATCACGGGCATCCTCAAACTGCGGCCCAAACCGCGCCACGATCAACAAACGACCAATAACAAATCACGGAAAACAACATCAAACGAGAGCATTCTTCAATCACCAGCAAAACCCTGTCACCAACAACCCTTGCTACTCTCCGCCCTTTGGTTTGGCCCCAGGATTTGGTTTGGGCCCAGCATTTGGTTTAGCCCCAGCATTACATTTCGACTCCAGAGCTGAAAGACAAAACAACTCGAATCAGCCAATCAGCTTCACACACTACTCCTGAAGCCTGACTGATCTCCCAATCACTGTAGCCTGCATTTGCTGCTTTCACGTCGACCAGTAATAAACACGGAAAACGACATCAGACATAAAGAATATAAAAAAAAAATGGGATTTGTGAGAGCATTTTCAATCACCAGCAACCCTCCTCCGACCAGATCCCTCGCTCGTCTCCGCCCCTTGGTTGGCCCCAACATTACGTTACATCTCTAATCAAGGTGAAATCTTGTCAGAACTCGCAAGACAAAAGAGCTCAGACGAACAATCAGCTTCATACACTCCTGAAGCCTGATCTCCTCATATCAATGTATCCTGCATTTGCCTCATCTCCTCATATATTCATTACCATAATAATACTTTTACATAAAAATGCCTCATCTCCTCATTATATTCATTACCGTTATAATACCTTTATATAAAAATAAAAAACAAGAACCGACTAATCAACTGTTGTATTCATTCACACGCACCACAACGAAAAACCCTTTTAGAATGTAACAGCAACTACAGTAGCAACCTACTACTGAGAGGCGAATAAGGTAAAAACACCCTCCCTTCCCACGTTAAGTTTTTCCTCCCTCTTTGCTCTGGACAAGAGGGACACCTGAAACGATTTACGGAGGTCCAAGCCATGTCAAAAATTGAAACCGCTGGGGTTGGCAATCCAGACGTAAACTAAGGGTCTGATCCGACTATACATACCGTAAGTAAAAAAGTGCCTTTTCACGGATCCCAGTGTGTTCCGAAGTCGTAGGCGGCCCCGTCGACTTAGGGGTATGTGGAAACATTTGTAGTCGTGGCGCTCTGGGAAGGAACGGCGCCGAAAAAGTCGTCGGAAGAACCGAAATGTGAAGAGTGGTCGACCCGTACCCTTCCGCGAAAAACCTGGAGCCGTTTTCTTGGTTTTTTTTTTTTTTTTTTTGGTTTGTCCGTTAGGTGGCGGAAGAGCCACGTTTCAGAACCGCCCAGGCCATGTCCGTCGGAAGAAAATATAGAAATGGGTCCAGGCCATGTCCGTCGGAAGAGCCACGTTTCAGAACCGCCCAACGAAAGCCGCCGTGGTCTGCGTCCAAGCTCCGAAGGAAACGGGAGATTGGAGTCCCGATTTTCTTTTACGGCCCGCGTGGCGCGGGAGCAGCTTTTTCGGTACTTTTACCACTTTTCCGTAAAAGTTCGTAGTCGGATCAGACCCTAACTCAACCGACACAAATACCGTCTTCCCCCGAATAGAACGTACGGTCATTATAGCCGTATTTAGGGCAACTTTCAGCATAGATCCAGCAAAAATGACCGTACGACATGAGAGGAGCAGTGATTACAGGCCAAATAGAGGACACTTCTTACCTCGATGAATGCGTATCCAGGTGGCCGCGGCGGGAGCTTGAGATCAATGTCGATGATGCGACCGTACTGATCACACAGTAACCCACAATTAAACCGAAGCGCAGCATACACACGCAAACGAGATAAAACAGTTAGCGGATGAAATAATGTTCGGATCTTCATTAAATTGCAGGAGACAGCAGCGAGTTCTCAAAGTGAAATACAGTTTTCACGTCCATCATCACATTATTATTTCAAGATTTTTGAATTATCACAAGATCTTAAACTACCCTTCCATTTCAAAACTCGGTTGGACAGACTGCCAAGCGAAACGTGACAAGTCTGAAGACGTGTGTCTCTATGTGACAGCTACAATCAACTCTTACCCACCAAACACCCACCATTGCCTTCTCCCGCCAGTCAAACTTCCATCCGAACTTAATCTTTACCTTCTCTAATAAAGGCAGAAGCTAGAAACACCATCAAGAAATCATAAACATACAGCAGCATCGTGCTCTCTGGAGTGAGCTTTTGCAAATTAACACCATACGGTCAAGACCTCACTGCACACACAGTTTTGCAAATGAACACCATGCGTTCAAGACCCCACTCCGCACACAGTAACCAGCGAAAAGCATGCTAAACAAGGTAGGAAAAACAATCACAAGATACATTACAATTCCCACTAGTTGCTCTGCGTGTGTGTGTGTGTATGTGTGTGCGCTCGTCTGACGAGGGTGACACAACTGAAGGATGCGCGATAGACACCCACAAATTAACCGCAATGGACATCCCAAGTACCCATTCTGCAAAGGCAAAGATAGACCGTAGAAAAACGTTCTATTCAGCCGTAACAAGTGCTCTCACATAGGGTGCTTCCACAGGTTGACATCCAATCCAGCCTAAAAGTAAACAATCTGCCACAAGTAACCAAAAAAGTTTTTAATGAATGGGTCATAATGCTCCGAAGATTTCAGCTGCAGAGATCCAAAAGCCGGTAGAGCTCCATTCCAGCTTACTTTACCCCATCCTGTCAATGTGCAGATGGCCGATTATTATCTCGAAGAGAAAAACTGTAACGCCGAGGCAATACGACCATGCAGTAGACGAAAAGGCGACCCGTCATAACCTCACTTAAGAAACAAAAAAAGAAAAGACAAGTACTCTTACTAGCGACGAGAGCACTCCTGCATCACGACTGACCTCACCAATAAGCCTAGAAAGGTTCCACGAACTGAATGCACTCTCCTGAACGGATGTCCCTCCATCCGCATTTCGACGGACGCTCTTTTCATTATCGCATCATAAGAGGATAATCCCGCCTCGAAAACTCTGCTGCGCGACTTAAAAGAGGATAGCCCCACCCTTGAATATTCGTCTTCCTTGCACTCAGCCACCAGTTCACACGAGCCTAAGTTGGGAAAGCTGCCTTCCAATCCTCGAAAGACAGCGACTGCGCCTTTTCGAATTCCCCGCCGTCACATCGTATACCCGCAAGAGCACTACTTAGGTTCGTGTGACGGATCACCCAACAACCACAACCAACAAACGAACACAACTCCCATAACAAGTTCTACCTATGGTCCAACAAAACGAACACAGCTCGCATAAAAAGTTATAACGATGGTCCAAGAGGAGGGTATTGTTCCAAGGCAAGGGCGGTAAGAGCACTACTTAGGTTCGTGTGGCGACGCACCCAAAACCCACAACCAACAGAGCGAACACAGCACCCATAAAATGTTCGAACGATGGGGTCCAAGAGGAGGGTATTCTTCCAAGGCAAGGGTCATCACCGGATCTGCATTCGAGCAGGACTACTGTCTATAGACTCCGCAAAACACTAAAAGCCTACACGCGAAGGGTCAGCCTGTGGTGCAAGAAGGGCTGCCCACGGATTAAATTACAGTAATTGCAACGGAGTCCTTCGTCAGTAGGCGATGCTCTCGATCTCATAACAGCCGCGTATAGCTGCCTGAGAGATCCCTCCTTTCTCACCCCCTGAGAGCCTCCAATGTGCGAGCACGTCTTTGTGTCCACAGAGCCGTTGCAGACAATCGGCAGTGAGGAAAACTTCAACACTTCAGGAGAGACCTAGAACTGAGCGTCGACGACCAATCCGGCGAAAAGCCCATATCAGCATTCACTCACTAATTTCCCCTCCCTCCTCTAAGCGAGAGCTGTGAAGAGTGTACGTAAAATAACCATGCGTGACTCGGACGGATTACGTCAGCCAACGGAGATTTTCTTTAGTCGGATGACCACAAAATAGCATTCCGACTGTTTACTGCCCAAGCTAAACTACGTCTCATCAATACCCTCCCTCCCGTTAATGAGCTGTGGAGGGTAGGTAAGATAACAATGAGTCAGTCGAACGTGCATCAGCCAACGGAGACTTCGGATGGTTGGACGACCACCCGATAGAATTCCCACTTTAATACCCAAGCTGCGTTTCATCAAGATACAATAATGGGTATGAATAAAACGAACCAATACAGACTTCCAACGAACGTACCAACATACCGACGATGACGATCAATCTCAACAAAACGACATCGAACAGGAAATTTGAATGCGCACGCACATGCGTTCTTCTTTGTAAGCTGTCCCAGAGAACTGCCCCAGCGATCCGCAAGCGGTGAAGGAGAAGAGAGCAAGAGACTGCGTCGTGCAACAGGCTGTTCCTTGATGAGTGTTTCGCTGACTATAGGTCTCACTGCGCGACTTGCCAAATGCGAGAAACACGGACGCGATTTGCGCGCGTATTTCAAAGCACCTTCCAGCTGAAGATACAGGCACCAGTTTCCAAATTTCGTATGTCATACAGCGAGAGACCATATAGAGAGAGAGAGAGCTTAAAACAACGATGATAGGCCAGAAGGAATTGGCGAGAGCAAGCTGCCGCCGTACCTTGTAGAACAGATCTTCTATTTCGCGCTCCTTGATGTCTCCTGGAAGATTGCCGACGTAAATCGTCCTGCTTGAACGACTCATGATGGGCTGCTGCTTTGTATTATGTCACCGCCTGGCTGGCTGCATTGAAACCCAGTCAGTCCCATCTGCTTTCCATGACATCACAGCGAGTACTATGCAGGAGGAGCCAGCACAAAAAAAGACAACCAGGTAACGAGAAGCAGAGGCAAGGAAAACATAACAACGGAAAAGAAGTAACACCAACCAACACAACTACGAGCAAACGGGAAAACACAAGTACCGCAAGCAGCAGCAGATTTCCCCTTTTCTCCTCCTCACCTCATTCTGACCAGCTTCCTGTCGTTTCTGCCACTTTCTAACAATCATCACCACCACTGGCAGAAACCACTGGGGGCAAATTTGAAAAGAACAAACATCCCCGTCCCTCTTCCTCGTTCAAACCCGTCAGATTGTCTTCTAACAAGCTTAACAGACAGACAGAGAAGTGTGCTGTGGTCAGGGTTCAGTACGAGGGTAATAATAAAATGGGGACGAGGGTTAGGCGTACTGTCAGCAAATTTCGAGTACTCAAACCTGACGCAACAGTGCTCCGCGGTGAACGAGAGAGAGAGGCAACCAGAAAGCATATCCCCATCATCACCACCATACCCAAGACTCCTCATCTTCTTCTCGTATGCTCAACCTTCGGTGATTCATAGTGTTCCCCACCGTCTTCTTCATCCCCTTTGCCGTCGCACCAATTACGGAGAGAACCATCATCACCACCATCATTATCGCCGCACTGGCAATGTAACATCACAGTGACATTGTCGCCATCAGTGTATTCTCGCCCTCATCCCCGTCGCCGACCACATATCACTCGCAACTGCGACCGTCCTTCACCCCCACCCACTAGACCCCCCCCATAATCGCCATATCCTCCTTATCATACCCATTACCCCCCACTACAACCCCCCCCCATAATCGCCATATCCTCGTTCTCTTTATCACACCCATTACAATCGTAACCTTCACAACCATACATCCATCTTCCACCCCCACTAGACCCCCCCACAATCGCCATATCCTCGTCCTCTTTATCACCCATTACGCCCCCCTAGACCCCCCCC